GTGTTGCAAATAAAAATAGTGAAGAAAAATCCCGGGACAAAGGTTCTCGGAAATAAAAATACTATCTGACTTGAGAAGCATGTGTTTATTCCATAAGCTTTTCTTGGGTGTCAGGTGAAACAAAACTTGTTGTACTTTTTTCTTCGGCATTTTCCTTGCCCAAAAACGGCGCTATACCCTTTTACCCGGACGCATTCCGACATCCGAAGATTGCCCCTCAAACAAAGACGAATTCAATTTCTCGGCGTGCTTTCGGCCTAGTTGATCAGACTCGAATTTTGAACGAATTCCCGTCTGATGAGGCTATTTCCGCGATTAAGCAAACCAGATTTGGAATCTGAGCCCTCGCCACTCTTTCTATACGAAATTTCCTCGAAGCTCAATGGACGCCGCCTCTGTCGTTGTAGGAGTAAACCAGAAAAAGTTAAAGCGGTGTACTCGAAAGAAACTCACTGAAAAGCTGTGCACGGCGTATTTGTCATCTATGACAAAGGACATGTGTAAAGATTTATCGAGAAAACGTTCCAATGGCATCCAGAACGTGTTCTTCACCTCGTGCACGTTCAATCGGGGGAAGAATGGACGCCTGAAAGAAAGGCATGTGAGCATGAACATATAATTTCGAAAGTTCTGACGATTTTATTAGGTTGGTAAGAGCGAGTTTCGCTTCTCTCGACGTTTAGGTAAGAAATGTAATAGCCCGCTTGGACCGCTTGATTAAAAATTGAATTCATTACATTTAATATACTCTTGCCGACACTTTTACTATCGCAGCTCATTTCGATAAAGATTTGAACTATTTCAGCTCTAAAACTGTCGTAAAACGACTTCGACGTCCCTATATTCTTGAAGCGATTTGGGGCGATGGGCTTCCGGGGGGGGGGCAGTCCATGAAATTGCGTCAGATTCACGGAAACATTCAGTCGTAGGACTAAGCCTCAAAGGAGAATTGGAATCCGAGGTGCGCAAGCAATTTCCATCCTCTACCGAAATCGTCCCTCTCCGTGAGGCCTGGTCCTAGTGGCCTTCCTACAGACTGCCCTCCTCCCCCCTCCCCTGAAAGCATGTTGTGCAGTGATTTCATAAGGATCTCTTTGTATTTCGTCAAAGTGGTGATCCATCAGAGATACACCTGAGCAATATTGCGCAAAACTCTGAGAGCCTTTTTTGAATAGGGTGCACTTTGCGGCGAGCTGTTTTACGCTATCCTGCAAAAGAGTCGGACCCTTCCGTTTCCCTGGTAGAGTATATTTATTAAATAATTATGGATGGGGCTACCAGAAAAGCAGGAAAACCCTCGCGGCCAAAGGGCAAGAACTCACCAACCGACACCACGAAATTCAAGCTCTGCCAAAATGTTTTTTAGTGAAATCATTTGAAAAAAATATTGAGCGACTGAATGAGCGGATTCACATGGTTATGAGCCATCATTTATACTTCACATTTGTTGCTGCCCCTGCACATTTTTCACGAAAAAACCAGATAAGATTCCGATTTTAACAAAAGGATTCCATAAAGGTGCTGCCGTGCCAAACTCTACCCATGCTCACCTCAACAATGCAACTGTTGGATGGATGAGCACTCCAAATCGTGCACGGAACGAAGGCAAACAGCCCAACACGACGAAGTCATCCGGTTGGAGACCGACTTCCTGAAAGTATTTCACATATTTGCTAGCCATAATTTGCAACATCGATGTTTAGGTCATTTATAAGTTGTTTTGACATAGAACCGGCCGGTAAGAGATGATCAGATGTTTGGTGTAAATTGAATCATTGCGATGCGCCATGCATTTGACAAGGGTCGCGATCGATTTTGCTCCGCACGAAACAAAACAAAAGGTGAGAAGTGGACCGCTAGTGAGGAAAGGAGCAGAAAGAACCATGAAAACACTCGATTAAGACCTTGTATTCTTGTGAGGTCGATCGTATCACGACATAGAGAAACAGCGCGGCGAGGAGAGAGTATGGTAGAAAGCGCGTTAAGAAGAGGGCTTACAGACAGCTTACAGTGTGAATGAGAAAAATTGAAAATATGTAGCAGCGGTTCACAGCGGGTCTGCAGGAAGGCCTGGACGCTTCCCGTACTTAGTCAACGGGATCCATCCCGCTAAACTTTCGCAGCCGTTGACCGGTACTACATATGACTTGTCTGCTTAGTGACCTCGTTACCTCACTGACGCAGAGAGAAGGCTATGAGGGTCTAACTGCGACCCGTGCCTGTACCCACCCGCCTTGCGAAATCGGATAGTTGAAGTAACAAGAAGTAAGTCGTACGAAGTGATACTTAGAAACCTAGGCGACGCGTCCATCAGCACAACTATTGGCCTTGCGCGGGTCCCAACACATTCTTTCACGATTTCTGCTAGATCTTAGGCTTTAAAAGACCAGTGTGCAATCCCCTAGGATCACACGTAGCGATAGCGGGACCAACAAGTCTTAAGCAATCCATTGAGCATAGGCGAAGCTTATTTATTATATTAATAGAATGTAATTTCATGCCACTCATTTCGTTAAACCGAGAAGAGCGTCCGCAAGACCGCACCGATGAACGACGAGGACCAAGTAGAAAAAATCCGCTGTCTTTTCCTAGGTCGTCGTTCACTTGAGTATTTATTTGGTTTCTGCAACTTCACGGCTCTTCTTCGATCTTTCTGAACGTAAGGGTATGTTGAAATGTAAGCTACATATAAGGTAATTTACCAACTCGACGCTAACGATCAGTTTGGAAATTCGATTTTTCGACAGCTTCGTGGGTTGAGAAGGTCCCGTAAGCCACAAAAGCAGCAAACGCTTGTGTTACGTAGGGGGAAGTCTGTCAATTTTTCATTTTGAGGGCACAACTTTTATAGACCTCAGTTGTTTCTTAGTTCGGCATACTGTACACAGCGATCTATGAGCTGAAGTCTAGTACGAGATTCCAAGGTCGAAGTTTCATTAAAGTTCTTCTCAGCAAATCACCTTGTGTCGTTCAGCCAGTTCCATTAGAAGGTGAAGCAAACCTTACATGGCCCCAGCGACCAGAAACCCGACTTTCAATTAACCTGAACCTCATCCACGACAGGTACTAGTTTTTGCCAGTTTGGTTCACCAAACGCTTGGTTGCCGTTGATAATCCTCAGCTCAGCTGGTGCGAAACTCGTTGCTGAAACAATTGTGGCCGTCATCGCAGCAATCCGATCTGCTGGCCATTCAAACAGTCACTCAAACGACTGACCGCCAGGACACGCATGTCATCTGCCCACGAACTGCCGTACAATCCGTGACTAATTAATGGATACTGACCCATGGGACCATCTGTGTACACGACTAGTCCACCTGGCGCGCGCTCTTTCTACCCTTGACACAACTCGCCGCGTCATCCACGATGCCGATGGCGGTACGATTTATTGCTTCGTTCATAATTCACCCGTACAACATGCAGCACAAAGACACAGCTCACAGCGGTGTCTCCCACGGTCATTTTTCCTACCCGATTCGATTCTTCACTACAATCCTTTCGGCCTGCTGAACCCGCCATCCTCCCTACCCATTCTCTCCATGACAAGTTTTCATTTGGGCGCAGCTTAAAGGACGAATTCACGATGAAAAAAGCAACCCATTTCAAATTAACCTAGGAATGGTG